TGGAGGCATGAATGAAAAAGCTAATGATATAATTATACTTTCATTTGTATACACACCATTTGGATGAAAAGGCACTGTGTGGAAATATACTTTTGGCGGACAGCAGTTATAATCTTCATTAAATTGTAAATACAATTTAAAAATACCACCTAGAATTCARACAACGAAGAAATCGTATCCTTATTGCGATAAACACTATTACATGTAACTTGACCTATAAAAATTAAGAATGTTTTTCTTGTACTGTACCTTCCCATAAAGAGTTTTTTGGTCCATTTACGGTAGCTTCCCAAGTAAACCAGTCATTTTCGTTCAAAGGCTGAGCTGTGATACCCTTTAAAACAAAGCTATAGATGATTAGTGACAATATAACCACAAGAATGCAGACTTTTACGGGCCTTTTCAGACGCAAGCTTACCCACACTGGGTCTTTCTTGATCTTGAAAAGCTCCTTTTCAAGGAGTAATCGAGCCCTAGATTGCATAATGCAATTTCCTAATACAAATACAAAACCTATAGCATGGTTAAATATAAAGCAAAAACTGCTAAAATGTGCAAAATTCTAAAAAGTTTGAAGAGCTTCGAAGTTGTCCGCCATTTTGTTTTACTCCAAATGGTTGCTAAGCAATTGACTAGTACTTATTCCTTTTTCTTCCCATTGATCCAAAGGGTTCCCAAATAATTTTTCTAATAAAATTTTTTTGGTGTTTTCTCCGGTTCCGAGTTACAAACATGTTAAAACTACAGCATGAAAAAGTCACTYAGTAGCCAGYAAAACTAACCGTGACYGKCCGACTAACGTATTTTAATCTCAAGGGGACAATTAATAGTCCATGATTATTATTTCAAGAGGAAATCAATCAAAAACAATAAAAAGGGATAAAAAAAGTCGTTAAATTTAACTTAAACAATGAAATCATTTCATGAATTCATTGGTGCAGAATGCATTGTAATAGAAGACCAATTGTAGTATTTGAGGTCTTCATAAAGCCTGCCACCTTCGCCCGTATTTTGTCTAAAGTCTTCCACTTCTCGTTTCTCRGTCTCTCCTTTCGTTCTCATCTCAACAACTACTTCAAGAGCTTATCCTATACTAAKCTATTTGCAGAAGTCTAGTATGCAAATCCGAAAGCATTTCATTTTGCTCGAAGACAGCTCTAATCTCAAAGTAAACACAARCCTTTGTGTCACCCTTCGTGTTTACTGAACCATCTCGCTGCTCCAATCAAGAATCAAGTTTGTATTTACACTTYCGACTCAGTGAACTACGAATTAAGGTGACGCATCCTAGAAACCATACAAAGCAACGCTAACTCAAAASMACTGAGTTTAAAAACTAGTCTAACATTACTATATAGCTCATCAAAGCCGTYTTAAATGGTAGTTAAGTTTTCCAAAGAGARAGAAATGTCGGATTCAGAGGAAGAATCGGTCGAAGAYGAAGGCYTGTACCTTGGTGARTACGAAGGAGAGCGAAACGAAGATGAGCAGAGACATGGCAAAGGCAAAGCTACATTGCCTAATGGCGATATCTACGATGGGCATTACGTCAATGGAAAAAGGCATGGAGAAGGAAYMTACAAGTAAGCAGAAAAATCGCGCGCTTTTTGAGGTTTTCTGTGCGCGCGTGCGTTGGATGYAWGCAAGTTCATCATTCCGAATAAGCAACTTTCCCTAAATTTGATTCAAAAAATCTCTTAGCTCTGTACAAACTTTATAGTCTTTTCCAGTAAAAAATATCCTTCTTTCAACTGCTAAAGTTTTGATAAGGAAACACAGTAATATATATATGTCGATGTATTTTAACGCGATACAGGTCAAAGTTGCCAAAGGAGTATGTTGTATATACTCTCAGTCCTTTTATAATCTCATAGAGCCTGAAATAATCGGATTCTTTCAGATTGTTTCTGAAATCGGATGTTATGTTACACCGCATACATTCACAACTCTTCCTTTTTCGATTGGTTACTTAAACTTGGCCATTCAAGTGACTTTTAAAAGCCTATGAGCAAGAAGTTGAACCGCGGCGATGAAAACTCTCTCCATGTGGTTTCCCATGGCAACGGGATAACATTGGCCCTTAAACGAGCGCCATCATATTGATGGTATCCAAATTCCTGCGACATGCCGATGTTATTTATTTATTTATTTTAAAGTTCCATTTTTGCATTGATAAATAACTTTTTTTTTCATTTCAAGGTTTAAAAAAGGAGGGAAATACGTCGGCGGTTACGCCAATGGTAAAAAACATGGCGAAGGGACTTTTTATTACCCCGATGGCTCCAGATACGTAGGGTACTGGATAAACGACGARCGACAAGGCCAAGGGACATACTATTATACAAACGGGGACACTTATGAAGGGGAGTGGAATCAAAATCAAAGGCATGGACAGGGCACATATACCTACGCAGAAACGGGCTCCATGTATAAAGGCAGTTGGATGAATGGACGTATGGAGGGAGCTGGAGAGCTWATTCACGCTAACCATCGCTACACTGGCGTAATGCAGCAAGATTTACCTAAAGGAAGAGGGAAGTACTCYTTTGATTTTGGCTGCGAGCAGAGAGGGAAGTACGARCTGATTGAAGTMGTWCAAGAGACCGAGGATCAGTTTGAAGGCGATGAACAAGAAGAGATTGTTGTCTTGGAACCAAAATGGCGATGCGAAGATCTTGTACAAAAGGAGTAATTATCATTCACCACTCTCTAGCTCRATAACAATTTCCTTCGTGMAAACTTGTCTAGGGACAACAATTTTAGAAAAAGCTGTACATATTTCCTGATATACTTCTTTTAATACTAAGATTTTTTGTTACTGAAGCAATGCATGAACTGAAGTTCCTGTAAAGAATGACTTTATAAAGATATTATTATTTATCGATGTATAATATATATTCTCTGAGTGTTTTGGTACTACATGGCTAACCCACAATGATCGATGCTAGATAATTCCCCACATATTGATACAGTTTGATCTCTTTTTTCCTCTTGATACCTGGATCTCGTATGAAATAGCAAGACTGCTCCCATTCAAACAAGAGCATACTAAACACATGCGCACGAAGATGATCACTGATAGAAAAATCCATCAAAAAACATAAAACTTTAACTTACAATGCGCACATCAATTTCAAGCTCAAGTATTTCGCTAATGCAGAGAGATATTTTCGCGGAATACCGGAAACAYAGCTAGGCATTTCCTTTACTCCAAACAGCTTATAATCGCCCTGTTTATGCTTCTAGAGCTGTTGAAAACAAGCTAAGTGAGATTRCCCATAAGGTAACTTTTACGTCAAGCGCTTCTTTTGATATTGATCCTGTCTGAGAAGTGGACACGCCCATGCCAGTTGCGCACTCGTCGTACTGTAACACTATCATAAACATATGAACGCTTAAGGGCGGTTTACTTGTTTTTGTGCGCTAATTACAGTTGTATAATGAACGCGCAAAGTCCCCTCGGTCTTGTGTTGGCTATATGTCCGCAATCAACCCACGAACGATCGTTTTATCACGATCCTTAGTAGAGGCGATAGTCGCGCGACAATTAAACTGCAGAAATCGATCTCCTTTGTAAATGAAGAAATTGAAAAGGTGTTACCTATTTGAAATCTTAAGTGCTCAAACTCAAATAACACTTGAATTATTTGCTGAATTATGTACTWTATAGTTTGTACAAGTAGCTTATCACAAGACAAGTTTCATGTGGTTGTTTGATCGAGTAGGGTATGATCGGTTGTCAGATAACCACAATACGATTCCAAATGTTGGCACTAACTCTGTTGGCAATTGTAGAGGATGTGGTTCAAGATAATACTAGCGATACAATTACAAGCTAATATGGTACTTCAAGTAAACTTTTCAGGTGACAAATGTTGTCAATATTCTATCTATTTTAATCCATCTCACTTGCTTCCTAAACGTACACATGAAATTCCTGTGGGTTTGGAAAAAGTGCAAGTACGTGTAAAACTGTGAACTCGTTAGCCCAAGTTCTCCTTCGTTAGACGAYAATAGATTATAATACATCGTTCAGTTGATAGATGAACAGTTTATGAGTCTAGGGAAAATTCTTATTGCCATAAATAAGCAACCGTTCGGATATTTGCGGGAGTCAATTCACATGGGATGCACATTTTAAGTCGTTCCGAGTCGTCGAAGTGATGTTGCTAATCGGGTTGCGGTTTGGATTGGACGCGCGTTGATCGATGCGCTCGTCTTTCAGTTACTGTAATACATATTGACCTAATTCTTTGAGGTTATTATTGTCAATAGGATTAGGTTTTTACCGTCTTATTTTAGGCTCAATTTAAGTTATTTTCTTTGAAAAGATACTGTATGACCTGCAAACGTATGACATTCGGCCGCTGACTAAACTTGTACGTGGTTAGATTGATTCGCGCCGTCAGAGACGTCCATAAGACTGATGCGGATTGCCGCGCGTTCACCGAAATAGCGCGCGTACTATTAAGTTGTATTAAACTTGTACGTGGTTAGATTGATTCGCGCCGTCCGAGTAACCTCTTTATATTCACACCAAGTGTGTTATACATACTCTACGTACATTTGACGTACAACTATACATCTACATAAGAATACTTACGTAACAACGTAAGAATACTTACGTAACATATTATACCAACAGGCACATATACTATTTTATCAAATATAAACATTTATTCCCAGCATTTATTCCCAGCATTTGACTGCTTTATCTCTCAAAACACTGACGAGTTTATTCTACTTAAGATTTTCTTCTAAAAATCAAGCTTGTGCGTTATGTAAATCACAATTATTTAGCCTTTTCCCTAGTATTTATCAGTGATCCAACTTATGTAAAATAAAATGACTTTATTTGGTATTATTTGAGCAATATAGCATAAAGTTTCCATCATAGATTTAACAAGAATGATAAATTGCGATAATTCATTACCATTCAATTACTTAACACTCAATTARCATCATCACATGCTCCGCGGGCCACGACAGGGACGGGCTTCCTGTGGTGCGTTGAAAGAAAAACATTTCCGGTTCCKGTTGTGCACAAAGAAATTCAAAGCAGGATGTTTAAMAAATTGTGTAAGGTCAAGGAGATGTCTCTCTCTTTTCTTTGCTAGCTTGATAACCTATCTTTTGCAAACTATCTTTGTTACAATATAWCTATCAGATAAATATGAAATGATAAATTAGCTATTGTAAAATGTGCGTCTGGTTTATTACCATGTCGGCTGCAGGCCGAARATTCGAGCTCGGGCTTCCTTCAAGAATGCCCAAAGTTTTTTTGCGGGTYGAATTTTTTTTCYCAAAAAGACTAAATTCTCCGATTAGAAAGTGAAAAGCACATATAGTAGAGTCTAATTATAATAAATAGAGCTCATGGAATCATCGAATTACCTAAAGGATTTCAAATAGGATCGGAAGCCCGAGTAAGTGTTTATTTTTACAAAGTCGAAAGATATTGTGACATTTCGGGTTATTTTTTCATTTCCTATCAAATCAATCACGGTGCTGACTATAAAATATATTCCACAGAAAATTCTATGCACTTGGCGTAAACGAGTGGTTCTCCTTTAAGGTTTGGGTTGCAAATGTACAAAACTATATACTTTTTGCTTCCGGCGGAAGTGCAATGCGTAATTGATGTCACTGATGTTCTATCAGTCCCTTACAGAGCAGTTGCTTRAGCAATGCTTCCTTCTGATACGCAAATGAATCGTATCAGTCTAACGTTTCCATAAGACCTATGCGGATTCCCGCGCGTTCACCGAAATAGCGCACATAATTATGCTGTATTAAAAATGCTGAGCCAGGTAGCAYCGCTCGGAACGGGTCTCATGATAGGTTGAGAAAACAATGGACAAACAATAGATAAGTCTTCCAACAATATAACAAAACCTAACCTAACAATAGTGGTGCTGTACTTAAGGAGCAACCAAAAAGCAGGTTTCAATTGGTACTGCATTACTGAAAATGCTTGATATATGACCATATACCAAACACACTATAGAATTAAATAAGTCCCCTCTAAGTCTCCGAGCATATGAAACTATAAACCGCTTGTTCAACCTAGGAAATGACTTTTYTAATGATGTCGGTAACTTGTCGTTGTGGTTTTTACSCWTGCTCTAAGGTCRTCCTCCAGACATCCGTTAGTATGCAATAGCTTACTGGGATCAATTAATTGGACGCGTGCCTCCAGGATATTCATGTCGCAAGTGCAAAACATCGTTTCTTTTTTGCTAAGGACTTGAAGGAAGGGTTGCAGTATCCACAATGCGTCATGTTTCATTCATAGGTTTAGTGCCCAGTAGTTTATTCAACGTATTTGACGGGTAACGTAAGCATTTGCGAATCATATGCRCATCCAATATTTTACGTAGCTAATCCGTAAAGATTGCTTAGCTGAAAGATAAACTGACAACAATAATTCCATTTAAACGTGTCCAACATGGAAATTAAATCCATGATTAGCGGACGCGTATTACATTAGTTGAAATAAAGGTGTACACTATGCCTAACAAAAACTATAGTCGTTCATCGCTAAACTGCAGACCTTGTCATCTTGTGCAGCGGATGCAAACATCACTCCTGTTGTGAAACAGAAACATAAATTATTTCCCGAGCTACAGATTTTTCCGCACAACACAACATGAAATTCCCGGTGCGAAGTGGCTCACTGAGAAACACACACATTCGACAGCGAGCAGGGCGTCATGGGCCCTAATTCATCCTATCTTTATTACAATACGTTACACTACGTGCGTTGTAATAATTGCCCTCGGCAAACGCCCTCATCACGATGCCATTGATCAACCGCAGTACTGGAATGCTACAAATATACCCACGCACTAATCGATATCGCAGGTTTCAACTACTCGGGGTTTATCCGACTAGATTAATCGCGTTTTAATATCTCTAGCTTTAGGTGCTGCATAGATCAACAACATCAGGATTTCCTAGTATTTTTCCCGACGGGTCTCATTAAAGATGTTGTCTTTCTTKAGCTTGGGCTAAAATCACGTCCTCTGATTGCTTTGTTTAGAGGGGGTGGGGTGGGGTTGCATGGCATTAAGATGCTTCGATCTTTATCAACATTTTTTTGTAAATATATTTTGTAAGCCCCATTTTTTTTATGCACAGACAGTGACGATAGAGTAGAAGTATTTTTTTTTTCAAAATGATGCATAGCTTTATCTGAATAGCCAAAATGCTTTAATCCCGAGAAAAAAAAGCCCTACAAAAACGCTTAACTTGAGCAACGCCATGAAAAACGAGAAAACTACATGCACTGATCATGCATGGCGCAAAACTTGAACAGCAAGCTCTCTATGTCTTCTTCAAACAAAGTTTTCTCTTCCAATTTATCCCCCCTCCCCGTCCAAAAGAAATGATGAACTTCTTGTTACCAAAACATTCCCTTCCCCCACCAACCTTCTTATCCAAATGTAAGCGGAAAGAACTACAATRGCCCTCGAGTAACTTCTYAAGAAGCTCTCAGCACAGYGCACTAATCCCACTACAGTACAATAGATAAATTGTATTGTTCTTGGCAACAATAGTTATCGAGTGCGTCAATRCGTACGTCAAGATTTGTCAAACAACTAGAGTATATTCTGAAGTAATATCCATTATTATTACTTACTTTTATTATAATCGTCAAAATGTGTATTGTTCTTCTTTTCTCAAGGGGATTTTTGGAAAAAACGAGTCTTTGAGTGATTTAGTACAATAATGTACCGAGTAATGAAGCCTTTCTTTGTTTCAAGTTGTTCATGAAGGTATTGACCATGACTTTTTACACAAATATTTCTGCAATCTGCGCAATTGAGACGCGGTTTGGGACGGCGAATTTCTCATGGGCCAATTCCTCCATAATTGTGCCAATGAATAGTTTTACTAAAATACAGATTAGATTATAGTCATTTGCATTGAGATTGGAGCAAGGTGAGATACGACGTTTGAAACTGCGATAACAACTGTCCAGCTATCAGTAAATTATGAACCTAAAGTCAAGAGCATTAATTGTTTTTGTAAATATAAGTAAAACAAACACAGTTCAAAGATTGTGCACGAATATGTTTACATTTATGAACGCTATCTAGCACAATTTACTTTACGGGATTTACTTTACGGGGTTTGAGCAAATCCAAACGTCGCGGGCTGTGATTGCTCGAAGAAATCACTCAATCCTCTACAAGAACAGCATCGTCCGCTCAAGGGAACAAACTGTTGCAATGATATTCCCATGGGTTAGGGACATCAGTACTTCTGATACTGCCTCGAGTACGTCGCTACATATATCATTGGTAATAGAGTCAATTTCGTATGAGTGGGAAACGGACGGTGCTGTACTGTAGCCGTAATCGTACTGTAACCAAATTCTAGTGTCTCATTGCTTCACAAAGATTGTGCAGGCCAGGTCCGGTAACTGTGCGGTAACCGTGCATGGTAATTTCTACCGTACGTTTCCCACTCATACGAAATTGACTGAGATGGAGTTCCGAATACACTACGACAATAATCAAAAACCTCTGATAATTAGCTCTTGAGCATCAAGTCATATAATTGAAGTGCCTTTGGCAAACAAATACATTGATTGATTTTGTCATTATTTTTTTATCATTAAACTTTTCTTAAAGCAAGCGAATTTTTGTCACTATATTTTCTAGTTTCAAAATCTCAAAACTTCACGCTATGCAAACTGTACTTGCCGGAAATCCTAGATTCTTTAGATACTTGGTTCTTTTGGCGCAAAGTCTTCCGTAAGCGGAATTARCTCTGGGATTCCTATTTATTTATATATTATACCTGCGCTCTAGCATTTTAGAGATTTGCGAGCCCTTAAAGAGGCGGAAACCACATCGTCATAGTAGATAATTCAATAACATCCCTCCGCGTCGAAAGGTCATACAAATATGAGGCTGGAAACTGGAGACTCTTTAACGACTGCGGCGCTAGCCAATTTGCGAGCTATATAAAACAGGGACTTCTGCAGAGAGAGCCTAAGTCCTGAATGAGCCAACACAAAAAGGATTGAATTCGAAGAGTGCTTATAGATTATATGTCAGATACTTGGTGCATAACTTGGATTTCTTACATTCTCATCAAAGCCTTTTTGAGTGCTACTTGTGGTATCGGCAGAAAGGCATAGCAAATCACACARCATCAAAAAGAAGCCTGGGATCTACTTTTTATATAAAACTAATCGCTTGTAGAAGCCTAGAGGCGCAATAGTGAGCGCTAAGGTATTGATACTTCGCTGTTTTCGTAGTGTGCGGCATAGCGTGTACATTTAAAATGAGCAAATTAGCCAGTTAAAAAGCTGATCAGAGCATTGATAATAACCGATTTGCCTGCTATGTCCTCAACAGGTATGGAGCTCGCACGAAAGTTGGCCTCCGTTATGATTTTAGGCATTCTGTCCATCTCTGCACAAAGTAGCAAAGCAGGTAAGAGACRTAAACCGCTATATAAAATAGTTGAAGACAGCATGAAATACCGTTTTAATCACGGCAATTATACTTCGCACTTATCTGCTTGAYAGTCACTGACAATAATTACAACTTTATGGTCGCAATAAGACATCTTTTAGAGCACATACCGTGCGCATTCTCTTACTACAAGGCTTAATATGTCCATGTGTACATTGTACATTTATACGAGGTACGTTCAAAGACTTGACCCCAGTGCGTCAAGCGAGGTTTATAAATTTCTTGCAAAGGCAACACAGACAAGTTAACCAAAATGTTATTCCAAAAATGCGCTCAAATTCAACTTAGTTAGTTGCACATACTTAATCCTACGAGATTTATTTGTCCACATCACTATCAATTAGTGTTTATTTAAGCGTGAACACCAGTCAAAACAAAAAACGACCACGAAAGAAAAACAGGTTCATTTCGTTTTGTAACGAACCAAAACACACTCGAATATGCTTTCCAAAATTTCGCTTTTTGCAGTATTRAAGCTTTCATCAGGCTTTGAAGCTTTTAAAGTGATACTTTTGCAAGAAACTATTGACCTAAACACGTATTTTTTTAGAAAATATAGTGTTATACGCAAGGTCAAAATGCTCAGTTAGTGAGGGAAAAAGGAATCGGTGTCAAYCCAATTAAAACCACCTTGTAATTTTCTAATTTTCTTGTATATCACGCTGAATTATTCTCCTCATTAATCTAGATTTCGAAACTTAGAAGACTAACCAGGCCAATTGTGATTGTAATACTTCACTCAAAGCTCTGATTAGCGCTCACATACAGGGTCCTTAAGACTGCAAATGCTAGCAGACGCAAGAAAGAAATCATCGACGYATTTTTTCCTTGCTATCTACAATAAGCCTAAATGTAAATCTCTTYTTTTACTCTTCGTGTGGTCTTTTTCAGACACTACGTAAATAATGCCATTCTCTTCAAATATGAGTGCGTTGTTCTTTGTGCCAAGGATTTAGTAGAATTAGTCACGGAATAGTTTCATCATTCTTTGTGGTATTGTTGATCGTCCTGTGTATTGACTTCTTCAAAAAAATTGGCCTTGACTTAAGATAAGCTTTCTCTTTATCCTTGATATTAAACAGAGGTCCTCTTAAGGGACTCTAAAATAAAAACAAAGAGCTAATGATTTAATTAGGCGACAAAATAAATAAATCTCAAGTACTTTATTACTGTTAAAAATTCTAAATCTCCATCTTTGACAATTTCACAGTCTTTTAACACAGATGAGAAACCAATTGAGGTCGGAATGAGGTCGCATGCTTCTCTTCTAAAACGATATCATATCAATGTTCTTGTAAGCATGCAATAGGTCTCGACCGAGCAATCGATATTTGAAAAAAACAACTTTGTATTTATGCCCCCTAGTGAATTTTCATAGCGTGAGCCGYTATAGGTGTGTTTTTGTTGGTAAATGAAATCACACCTTTCGACGTGTCGCAAAAGATGATTAAATTGACTCCTRCGAAGTCTTTTAATAAAGATAACGATCTAATTGAGTTAGTATCTCTTAAAAATGACAGCGATTCCCGCCAAAGTTAAATAGGCCATGTAATCTACATGATTCCCCAGTGAAAACAGCCGATCAAGTATTTGTAGGTTCCTTGATTTCCTACACATTTTGCCTTTGGCCATATTATTTATTGCTGGTAAAACGTCAAGTAGGTTTGAACTTCATTCTTCTAAAGTAATTGAACAAAATTGATTTTAGATTCGATCGCCTCAGGCTTGAAAACTTGACGATGAACGGATGATAGTGATGAATTGGTTAATATCCCAATTTCTAAGATAACGCAATTGATAAATAATTAACCGAAATTCTTAGCTCTTTTAAGCATTAAAATGCTCCCTTACAACTACAAACAACGTTAAGATTCTGACGTGTGTGTTATAGTTTTGAATTGTTCAAAGCTAAACTGAGTAAAAATTGACTCACTCGTGAATCWCTTGACATATTTGTTGTTGAGAATGTGCRTATCAGAATATTATGAAATGATTATCAGTCCAACCGATAACAACACATACGGTTTTGATAATAAAATGCTGAAACGTAAATAGACGATAACTTGAGGAAGGTTCTAGCGCTCAATCAAAGTGATGATAAGTGAATTACGAAGGTGTTGATTGACCTTGTAGTGGGCGACCAATTCACGCCCATCACAGCAGTTGTTTTCCCAATCCTTACTACGACACAATTTTGAATCTTCTGAAATGGAAAAGAGCACAAAAAATTGCGCTTGTGAAATATAAATTTGTGGTATTTAGTCAGACTTTTTAAGTAGATTTGTCGTGGGGTATTCATTTAAGGTATTCGAGCTAGACAGTAGAGCTAGACTGTGCATGAGACTGTGGGTCAAGAACTCTTGTACCTGTGTTCTGKGTCTTCTCTTAAGAGATAATGCTGTAGCGATTTGTCTTTAAGGGAGACAAGAGAGGATCTTATTTCCTCTACTGTATACCGAGGCGCTATTAAAGAAAATTGATGTGCACGCATATTGTTGACATCGTCCGATCATGCCTTTTTACGGAACACAGCCATAGTCAAAACTATAGTCTAGGGAAAATAGCAGGGTACTCGGAGCAAAAAAAGAAAAAAGAAAAAAAAAAGGAAAAAAAAAGGAAAAAAAAAGGAAAAAAAAGGAAAAAAAAAAAAAAGAAAAAGACTAAAGAAAAGAAAAAAGAGAGAAGATCATAGAAGTAAGGGAAACAATGGACAATTAACCGCTGCATGCGATTTCCGTAGTGGACTCACTTCTCCAACTCATTTTGTGTTTAATTGTGCATTTTAATTGAATTGGAGGTTTACATATCTATCACTCACTCGTTCACTCGTCTTCTTGTAAACTTTGAACCTGCGTTGGTCGTGCCAGCAGTTTCATCACTTTTATTCATCCATACAGATCAACCATCAATATGCTACGACTTCTTTGGGTGCTTCTCCAACGCCCAGCCGTTCAATCGAAGCAACATACCACTTCCKGAATCACCAGCGTCCATACAGACAAGGTTCCTTCTTTTTACAAGACAAACTGCATGGCAGGGGGAATGGGTTGATCTGAACAATATAAGAAGGTCGCAATTCAACGCTTCGAAGACGACTATGGTCATTATCCACGGTTTTGCAGGATTCACAGGTAATCCTCGTTACCATGACACTGTTTCCTTGTGTTCCTAGGCTTGGTGCTCTTTTGTACCCATTTATCATTGCGTTTATATATCAGAGCGCTGACTTGAGGACGCGAAAATTAATTTAAATTTGGAAGCACATCTGTTTGATGGTCTTTGCATATTAACCATTAAATTCACTCAAGGAGTGTCTTTATTAACGATGTATTTATAAATCTAGTGAAGACAAGCATCACGCAAGAGAGAGACTGGTGGGGACTTCCAATGAAGAACCAATTATTACGGAAAAGAGATTGCAATGTCGTCATCATTGACTGGATGCGCGGAGCCTGGTTTCCATTCACGCGTGCTGTGGCTAATGCTCGATTAGTAGGTGCACAAGGAGCTTACTTCCTTCAGTCTGTTGAGGAGATGTATGGCCGTCGCTTGCCATATTTGCATATAATTGGCTTTAGTTTTGGCGCACACGTGGCTGGTTACATTGGAAGAAGAATGAGAAAARATGGACGTTCTATTGACCGCATAACAGGTTAATATTTGTAAAAATTGACCTCATTCTAAAAACGTAAAATAAGTATCAATTTTTCATAATTTGCTAATACTCGAGTGCTGATTTCCACTTGTAATATAATGGTAAAGGCACAAAACTCTTGTAAGATTGCTACAAGTATATTAGTAGTTGGTCGATATTTTTAGTCTGTTTTTCGTTTCTTTTACTGTTAYACCAAAATTTGAAACAAACGCGGCCCAAAGCCAAGGTTAAGTAAGGAAAAATTTTGATCCTTGCGGTTAGATTTGCGTCTAAGCTTGCGTAGTGTCAGTTTTTACGGTATTCAAGTCCTTGAGCGTTTTGAGCTTGGATTTGTGAAAATCAGCTTTGTCAACTTAAGGAAAAATATATAATTTCACTCAACTTTCATAACATTGTTATTAGGTCTGGATCCAGCAGGAATGTGGTTCGTTGGTGAGCATGCTGACGTCAGACTAGATCACAGTGACGCCATCTTTGTTGACGTCATTCACACTAGTTCCACCTATGGCATGACAGCTCATATTGGTCACGTGGACTTCTATCCCAATGGCGGTCACAAGCAGCCTGGATGTGATAGCATGTTCAGTGGTGAGTTTCTTGATCTTTTTTCAATTCACTGGCCTTTATTGCAGAATTGAAGAAAACTGTTTCACTACGCCAGCCATTAGCTTCTTTATGCTTACTTGATTTTATGTCAAAGCTTTTCGCTTTATTAAATGGTCATGAAGCTTTAATTTCTCCTTCTAAACTCTTGTACTGCTCTTATTTATACTTCCCAGGTTTTACCAAATATCTCTTCTGTAGCCACAAGAAAGCTCCAGCTTTCTTCATAAGYTCAATCACGTCGTCTTGTCCACTGTATTCATATCCATGTCACAATAAAGAAGACTTTAAGAACGGAAAATGTYTACARTGTAAAGGYTCWTGTATTCCCATGGGTTTCAATGCTTTTTCGCCCTATACTAATGACACTGTCAGTGGAAAATACTACCTTGTCACTGGAGGAAAGGCGCCGTTTTGTGGTAAGAGATKTTTAAACTTTTTGGATGCATTATTAAATAAATAGCTTGTGAACTGTATGTATAATTATTATTAAAATAAATCAAATTTATAAAAATTTGCATAAATTACTTTTAAAGATATTTAGGAGATTCGCGTGCCATTGATCAYGTGATTTTTAGCTACATCTCGTAATTAATCAGTATATATTCAACAGAATACCACTACGAGATTACATTCAAGACGATGAGTTCCTGGTTCGCGGGTGTTTATGGTCCAGTGTCTGTTAAACTTAAAGGTCAAGATGGTCGCTCACACACTATGAAGTCTATGAAGTACGTAGGTACCCCCATCCCCTCCCCCCACCGCATTATTGCTCCTTTTTAGTCTCAATTGATGGTTTTCAACCATTCCCATGAGAGTGAGCAAAACAAAAAGGTCCACCAGTCACGGTGGTGGTTTTCTTTTGTCAGGTCCACCAGCAATGGCGGACATCTTTTGTTCAACATTCTCTCCTGGGAATGGTTGAAAACCATCAATTAAGCTCATAATCCTAAAACTCCTTTATAACTCCCCTGCGTGGTTATTATGAACGATTTTATTTCATAGTGTGAAAATTTCATAGATACATCCCAGGATGCACTGACATCAAATATCTCTACACAAGTCCATTCGACCTTGGCCCATTGAAAAGAATGACAGTATGGCATCATGGGATATTTCAATCGTGGGGACTGGAACGAGTGACTGTGAGACCAGCTTGGACGCAAGACCGGTAAGCAACAACAATCGCAAAAAGTAAACAAACATATGACGTCATCTACAATCATATATTTTATATGACGTCATTTTATGACGTCACCCAACGCGTACGACGTCATCTTTTATTACGCCATCAGATACGCAGCACATATGTATGACGTCATCTTTTATTACGTCATCAGATACGTAGCACACCCCAAGAAATGGCTGCGGTACGGCGTTAAGGTGAGCAAGCACCTATTCACTTGGGAAAAGGACATCAGACGACAAAGAAGGCTGGCAAGAAAGATAGCATTACGTAACAAGAGATATAAGAACTGAAGATTATATAGCTAAGCGTTTGCGAAACGCGACTGCATAATACTTTGCTAAGAAGCTTGAGACACTCGTTGCTAGTCGCAAGAGAGATGCACTGCTTCTCTTCCAAAGTTACACTCTCTACATGGAAGACTCTCGGTGAGGCGGCTCGGACTCACAGCCTTTACTTCCACGCGTAGGTCCCACTCGTATCAAAACTGCATCAAACTCCGTGAATAATTAGAACTCACTTATTATCAAAATAAGTATATATATCTAACAGAAATAGATCGACTTTATTTCGCTTGTCATTTATATGATTAAATATTGTCACGAGTTTTAAAACTCACCCGAACATTGCTTAAATAAAAAAAAAAAATTGAACTCGAAGTCGTATGAATAGACTTCTTTCATATGTACTTATACGCAATGCATTGTAGGATATGTTTTGTACAAAACATGGAGGATTTCTTTTTACAGTTTTCTCCACAAACTGATAACGCAAGGTGACGTAAATAGGGGTGACCTACGTAGCACGCAGTTGATGTAATGTATTCATAAAATGTATTGTATTCCATTGTTTCTCGTTCTATTGTATTATGTGTTTTGTATTATATCTTTATGAATATAWTACATCAACTGAGTGCTACGTAGATTCTCCCGACGTAAATAGTTCAGAATGCTATGCAAATATTATGAGTGCTGAGTGATAATCAGCAGATCGTATGTTAAATACATAATCCAAGATTAATTTTCTGTGAAAGTGAGCGCTTGATTTTGGTTTAAAACCGAAAAAGAAATGTCTAAACATCAAGMCACTCTAAACTCGGCTAAAGCTGTCGAGAGAGTGGTACTGTTGGGAAAAATCTTGGATGTCCTGGTAGATTTCATTGGATGGGATACCTGTGGGTTTCGGAGGGAGCCTGGTGTCTGGACTAAAAGAACTATAGCTATCCGTGTGAGGGTTGACTGACTGGTATGTAGACATCGTGTTAGTATATTCCGGTTCTCTTTCGTTGCCAATAGGTTCGTACAGCTGTAAATTCTGTCCATCAGTAATGGTTGGTTGTTCTTTAAGAGCAATCGCATTCTGAAAAATTATTAATATGAAGAAATTAACAAATAATCCAATAATATTGATTTTGATGCGAAAAGAAACTTTCATCTTTAACTTGTTTTGCTTTGAAATTTTTTGGACATAATATTGAAGGACGCATTTCGCAATCAAATATGGACGGTTGCGTCAAGGCCATAAATTAACTAGAACGCCAGCTGAACAGAATGATCGATGTCTACGATTATCGTTTTTGGAATCGTACTCTATAACCTACACGCGAAAATCAAAATACGCCGATTACGATAAGCCTTGCAAAGTTTGCGTTCTAAACGAACTTATATGTTTTTCAATGTTCAAAAATTTCCGTTTTCGTGAAGAACGTTTTCATCAATTGCAAAACYCCAAAGTATCTGGAGGCGTCAGTTGATGGGGACAACATTAARGACCCTTTCTTACCTCGTATCCAACTTCGTTCTCGATATTCTCCCTGAAATAAAAATTAATAAATAAAAAATCACATGAAATAGAGATATAGAATACTTCAACCATATGCATCCACTGATGGGATTATGCGTGCATTAAAAAAATGTTTCCAAAGGTTTGCCCTACTAATCAGGGTAATCCTGTCTTAAATAGCAGTTTATAATGTTACTAATGTAAAATCTATATCTTTGTTCCAGAGAAAATAATCCTCATGATAGATGTCGCTGTAATGGAAAATAAAAAAATCATTAATTGAAATAGATACCTTTTGCTTGGTTGTTCTTTGTTTTCTGTCAAAACAAAGTATAAACAAATTCAAAAATCAYTCAATGGAAACCTTGCGTTTAATGCAAATGAAGTAGAACAGCCTTTGAATTATCACGCGCACGCCATTCTTTTATTGCATCAAAAGAAATACAATCCGTGTGCTCTGATTCACTCATTCGACAATAGGATTAATTAGCATCTTGGTAAATCAATAAAACCTGATTATACCTCGAGAATTAAAGAACAAAGCTATCGCTGCCATGTTGGATGACTGAACAATTGAAAATAATGAGGAATGTTTTGTCATCGTCATTCAACATAGTGGCGATGACGTAAAGTGAAACCAAGTTTARCAATGGCTCTTCCAGCACATAAATGAAAAGGTGAATTCATAGTTTCATAGAGGAATATTGCAGATATATGCCAAATTTGATACCGAGCAGCGTTATAATAGTAGTTACCTTCATCAGCTCTACTGATGTACGTTTGGTATTGTTAAACTAGTGGTACRTCTCACCTTTCAAACGCTTCCAAAGAATATAACCAAYTAMGATGAAAATGAAAACCAGCGCCACGCCAAGCAACACACCAAGAACTATGATAGACGCCTGATGACTTTCTAAGGCAGTAGGAAATAACGTCAACTATACACAAAGCTTGTTCAAATGTTAACAACTCTGAATCAAAAAATGTTCAAACCTGTAGATGTTTTTATACTGGTCAAAATCGTAGGTGTAGTAGGTGCAATATAGTCCCCTGTGGATAAGAAAAAGACATCAGCAGTAAAATTAACAATCGAGCGTGTTGAACACAAAAGAGCAAAAGAAAAGAAAGAAAGAAAGAAAGAAAGAAAGAAAGAAAGAAAGAAAGAAAGAAAGAAAGAAAGAAAGAAAGAAAGAAAGTTAGATATACGTGAGTATTTGCTACGCGAAAAG